TGTTACTCCTAATGACTCTCTTGCAGAATTTTTTCCCTACAACTTGCCTATAGTTCCGTCTTACAACTGAGGGCTTGGCAGTTTGAAGGCCTTAGTGCCCCAAGATATTTTCACAAGTAACACAGGCATAGAACTGTTAAATGGGAAGCTGAAACTACTGCTTGACCCTTTTTGTGTCTTAAGACCAATGGCCCAGGGCCCGGCACAATAGGCCTAGCAACTAAAGTCCTCACCTTGCATGTGCCCGTATGGGTGTCAGTTTGGTTCCTTTATGGCTACTTCCCATTCAGCTCCTTGCTTGTGGCCTGGGAAAACAGTCGAGGATGCCCCAAAGCCTTGGGACCCTGTACCTGTATGGGAGACCTGGAAGAAGCTCCTGGCTCCTGGCTACATATCGGCTCAGCTCCAGCCATTGTGGCCACTTGGGAAGTGAATTATCAGAAGGAAGAGCTTCCTCTCTGTCTCTCCTCCTCTCTGTCCAATAAAAATAATTAAATCCTTAAAAAATAATAATAATTTAAAAAAAAACAACAGACCAATGAATCAGCAGTCACAGAGGGGATGCGTGATCCTGGTTACCACAGAGACACTGGTCATCATTCCCCAAAGGGAGTAAGGAGGACTGCTTCTGGCACCTCAGGAATGCACAGGAGTCCTCTTAGCATACCTAATGTGACCAACAGTACAAAGCTGCAGGAACCCGAGAACGAGCAGACCACTGACAACTGAGCTCCTGTGGGAGTAAAGGGCATTCCCATGGGCGTTCTGCCCAATGAAGAGCCAGTGGAGAACATTAGGAAAATGGAAGCTGTGATCATCACCTGAGGCTTTGAGCCCAAATGTTACCATCCCTCTTTCCTTGCTTTGTTTACTTTTATTGTCCTTTTCCAGGTGGCCATGCCTATCAGGGAAGACTGAGACACTCTTGTGTCCTAAGCGATACATCTAAGACATTGATTGTATGCCTCTTTTTAAAGGAATAGTTTGGGCTAAGGTTATCTCGGACAGTGACACATGACGGAGAGTTGGCTGGGGTGCTTCTGGGAAAGCTGCCCCTGCGTCTAATCAAGCACGTAGTCTCCTGACAAGGCAACCTGCTTCTCATGACTGAAGTGTCAAATGCCATTGGGAACCCAAAGAAACCTGACTCATTGGCAGTCCCAGTACAGTTTCTTCACCTTTCCACCCTGATCTCCTAACATTGTGAAGTTAAACAATGGTAAAGTATTAGCACCATCAGCAGTGAAAGTTGATCTGATCACCGAGGTCACTAAGTGAATGATGGCTGAATGATGGATGTTGGGGACACTGCATGAAACGATGTTCATGTCCCGGGTGGGGCAGAGTGAGACATTATGAGATTTGCAATGGCTTGTATAATGGCTCATAGTGACTAATAATCAAAGACATAAGATTGCTTATTTCTGAAACTTTCTGTTTCATGTTTTTGGACTGTGGGTAACGGAAACCACAGAAAACAAAAACCACAGACAATGAGAGGACTTACTGTCATTTCATTTTTACTTCTCACCGTTTTGTAGTTAATTTCACTTACTTATTTTGAAGACTGTGAAACATTACTACAATTCTAAAAGAATCGTACTAAAAACTTACACTTAGATAAGCACTTGGGCCAGCATAGTTGCATAGCAAGTTAATCCTCTGCCTGTGAGGGCCCTGCACGACAGCGTAGTGGTTAAATTCCTTGCCTTGAATGTGCCAGGGACCCATATGGGCGCCAGTTCTTATCCCACTGGCAGCCCTGCTTCCCATCCAGCTCCCTGCCTGTGGCCTGGGAATGCAGTCGAGGATGGGCCAAAGCTTTGGGACCCTGCACCCATGTGGGAGACTTGGAGGAAGCTCCTGGCTCCTGGCTTCGGATTGGCTCAGGTCCAGCTGTTGTAGCTACTTGGGGACTAAAGCATCAGACAGAAGATCTTCCTCTCTGTCTCTCCAACTCTCTGTATATCTACCTTTCCAACAAAAATAAATAAGTCTTAAAATCCTCTCCCTGTGGCATCCAATACAGGCACACTGGTTTGTGTCCTAGCTGTTCCACTTCTGCTCCAACTCCCTGCTTATGCCCTGGGAAAGTGGTGGAGAAGACCCAGAGGAAGCTCCTTGCTCCTGGCTTTGGATGAGCTCAGCTTTGTTGTGGCTATTTGAGGAGTGAATCAGTGCATGGAAGACTTCTTTATCTCTCTCTTCTTCTCTCTGTAAATCTTCTTTTTGAATAAAAATAAATACATCTTAAAAAAAAGTGTTACCCTCCTAATTCCTACACACTCCCCAGTGCATTTTCTCCCTTTGCGGTTACCCTCTCACCCATTGCTTGTAGCCACCTAGTCTTACTGGCTTCTTGTTTATTCTGTATCTGTTTTGCCTAGATGAACAAATGTGTTCATTTTTCATACCCTTTTATTTGTTTACAGGACCCTCCATTTAACAAGATATTATGAAAATTACTCTATATCCATTAGTAAAATCTTCCTACATTCTGCTTTTTACAGATGCATAGTATTCTTTTGAAAAAGGATTTGTTTATTTTTATTGGAAAGTCAGATGTACAGAGAGAAGGAGAGACAGAAAGATCTTCCATATGCTGGCTTACTCCCCATGTGTTCGCAATGGCTGGAGCTGAGCCAATCAGTGCAAGGAGCTTCTTCTGAGTTTCCCACACAGGTGCATGTCCCAAGGCTTTGGACCATTTTCCACTGCTTTCCCAGGCCACAAGCAGGGAGCTGGATGGGACGCAGTGCTGCTGGGACACACACCAGCGCCCATATGGGAAACCAGCACATGCAAGGCAAGGATTTTGGTTTTGTTTAAAATGTATTTTTTTAAAAAGATTTATTTTTTTTATCACAAAGTCAGATATACAGAGAAGAGGAGAGACAGAGAAGAATGTCCTCCATCCAATGATTCATTCCCCAAGTGACTGCAATGGCTGGGGCTGAGCCAATCTGAAGCCAGGAGCCAGCAGCTTCTTAAGGGTCTCCCATGCAGGTGCAGGGTCCCAAGGCTTTGGGCCATACTCCACTGCTTTCCCAGGCCCCAAGCAGGGCGCTGAATGGGAAGTGGGCCTGGTGAGATTAGAACTGGTGCCCATATGGGATCTCAGCATGTGCAAGGCAAGGACTTTAGCTGCTAGGGCACAACGCCGAGCCCTATTTTTTGTTTGTTTGTTTGAAAATCAAATTTGCAGAAAAGGAAAGAGAGAGCTAGATATTCCATCTGCTGATTCACTCTCCAAGAGGCCACAATGGCCTGAGCTGAGCTGATCAGAAGCCAGGAACCAGGAGCTTTTTCCGGGTCTCCTACACGGGTGCAGACCTTGGGCTATCCTCGACTGCTTTCCCAGGCCACAAGCAGGGAGCTGGATGGGAAGTGGGCAGCTGGGACATGAACTGGCACACATGCAAGGCAAGCATTTAGCCACTGACCTATCATACGGGCCCAAGATGCATAATATTGTATAGTATAGATGTCGTCTGATATACTCATCCACTCTCCTGGATATGGGCATTTGGATTATTGCTAACATTTTACAATTAGAAAATTTGTGTGGGCCCAGCGCGGTAGCCTAGTGGCTAAAATCCTCTTCTTGCCTGCATCAGGATCCCATATGGGCGCTGGTTCTAATCCCGGTAGCCCACTTCCTGTCCAATGGTGAAGAAACTGTAGAGAGTAGACTGAGGGTGTCTGGAGGCTCAGGTAGCAGGAGGGGACTGGAACTGAGGAAACAGAGTTTGCAAGCTGAAAGGGAAGGAAACAGTGAAAGGGAGTGACTAATGATGCATTTTTATTTATTTATTCGTTTTTAAATAAAGATTTATGTATTTTCATTGGAAAGTCAGATATACAGAGAGGAAGGGAGACAGAGAGGAAGATCTTCTGTCCACTGATTCACTCCCCAAGTGACCACAACAGCGGGAGCTGAGCCAATCTGTAGCCAGGAGGAGCCTCCTCTGGGTTTCCCATGCGGGTGTAGAATCCCAAAGCCTTGGCCCGTCCTGGACTGCTTTCCCAGGTCACAAGCAGGGAATTGGATGGGAAGTGGGGCTGCTGGGATTAGAATCGGTGCCCATATGGGATCCTGGCTTGTGCAAGGTGAGGACTTTAGCTACCAGGCTACCGCACCATGACCATAATGTATTTTTTAAGTACCTATTTTTAAATTTCATTCAAAATTGCTTCCAATCATTGTGGCTGCCAAGGCCCACCTGTAGTGTAGTATATTTTCACTTCAACTGTTTGCTATTGGAGCATAGCTCTGCAACTCTCTTGAGGAATTTTGGCCAGTAGACGTAAGTTCCTTTTGAAATGATGTTGGGCCGCCAGGTTTCATCTGTGCAGATATTCTTGATATAAAATTTGCTTGATATAAAATTTGGCTTTGAAAAATGTGCCTACTTACTATGCATGGACCAAAATACACGATAACATCTTCACCAGCATGCATTTTAAATGAAAAAAAAAATGGCTTTACCAACATGCATTTAAAATGGAAAAACTAATATATGTATATATGGTGTCTGGTAGATAAATGCAGGTAATTTTAACTAAGCGCCTGTATCCATGTTGCTAGCCTGTTCTAACGTGTAGCTGTTGTAGAGGAACAAGCACTTGGACCCGCAGAAGGCATTAGAAGGTGGTCTGTGTGTTTCTGGGACTAGATGATGCTATTCAGTTCTTTGAGGGAGAGTGTGTGCGGGGGATGCTGTTGATTTGTGTGTTTTCTCTTGGAAACGTTGCAGTGTGGTGTAGTCTGTGGCTGCCCTGGTGGGCTGAGGTGGGGAGGGTGTGACGCTGGTATTTGGTGAACCCCGGGCTTGTGATGCTGAGCTTGTTTCATCCGCTTTCTCCTCCTTCCCTCCACCCCCTCCTTCCCACCAGCGCCACAGCAACATCCTCAGAGCCCCAGCGAACTCCACCCGGTGGCGCGGGCACCCTGCGTGCCCGGAGGAGCCAGCGAGCGAGCGCAGCGACAGTGCCTCGCCTCCTGCAGTCCCCGGACCACCATGGCCCAGAGCCGCAGAGACCGAAACAGTTGGGGTGAGTGTGGAAGGGTAACTTGGCTGCAGCCTCTAAGTCTAGCCCTCCTCCGCCCAGAGACCGGGACGGCCAAAGGCCGTGGGGCTGCTGCCGCGCCCAAGGTTGCCGGGCTGGGGCACCATGGCTGAGCATTGCCAGCGTCACTGGGCCCCACAGTCCGAGGAGGCAAGGGCCTCGGCTGAGCGCAGGCCGGCCAGAGCTGCCGCTCCCCACCCCCGCCCGCCTCCTCCCAGCATTTGGACAGCACCCACCGGGCGCCTGTGGGACTTGTGGATCCGGTCTTGGCGACGGGTTGGAAGGATGTCGATGAGGGTGGGCGGGGGGTGGGCTCTGTTCCACAGCGGAGAAAGGGTCGGGGCCGGAGGCCCTGGAGCAGGCGGCACCTGGCCCGCTTGCGCCGGAGCTGAGAGCGTGTGAGCCAGGCTGGGCGCGGGCTCCCAGCAGGCGGGCAGGCTCGCTGGCTGCGCTGGAACAATGAAGGCAGCACGCTGGGTCTGGGCCGAGCCCTGCAGATTGTAAGGACCTGGGCAGCGGCAGCTGAGACGGCAGCCTCATGGGAGTCCCCAAGCACTGCGGCACTCATTTCAGTTTGGGGGCTGGGTGGGGGGTGGGGATGGGGGTGGGGGCAGAATTGAGAAAAAAAGGAGCAAAGTTGTGATGTGCGTTCTTAGGCCCCACCCCGACCTGCTACCCCATTCAGGCCAGCTCAAGGGTGGCTTTGTTCTTTGGGTTTTACCTTTTGGAGATGCTGGGCTCGTGATTCAGCACCAGGCGGAGGGGAGGGGAGGGGAGGGGAAGGGAAAGGAGAGGCTGGGCCCAGTGGGTTAGCACCGCGAGTGGGTGGGCGGCGCTCACGCAGGCGGAGAAGAGAGCGCAGTGTTGCTGGGGAAAGCGTGGCCCCGCCCGCCACTCCAGGCCACTCTGGACAGGGTGATGTGGGCAGGTTGAGTGTCCTTGTTGGAGCCAAAGGCTTCGGAGATGTTTTGTAATGGGAACCAGAGTGATCTCAGACTCCTAAGTTTGGTGGTTCGGGCCCCATTTTGCCCATGGGCTGTGAATTGTTATTTCAAAGTTGACACCCACAAGGCGTTAGGCTTCTCCTCCATGACTCAGTGGCACGCCTTGTGCCACTCTCTATCTGACCGAGAGGCACAAATGCACATTTTAGCTGGTTGTATTTCAGTTTACTTCTATCACAAGACTGTCTTCTGTCTCTTTGCCTCTTACGGTCACAGAATCAAGCTGACTCCTCAGAAAGCAAGGTGCAGAAATTAGGCAAGGTTTCTGAGGTCAGTAGCGCCAGGGTTGCAGTCGCAGCATTTGCCCTCCTTCTTCTGAAATCTGTGCAAGCGTTTTCCCAGCAGCTCCGTGGCACTCGGTCCCTGGGCCTCTGGATCAGGAATTTCTCCAACAGTTTAGTTGCCTTGCGTTAGGTGGGTTTGGGTCTTGATCTCTGTGGGTAGTTGACTCCACCGTGTTAAGAGACAGATGTGAAAGTGTGTTGTGAGTAGCAACAAATGTCTCCTTCGTGATGTTTTGGATCACCGTAATTTAGTGTTTGACCACAGATTCCTTATGTAATGGAGGGTTGGTCTCCCCCCCCCCCCTTAGAAATGTGGTTCTCAAGTGGGATTTGCATAAAAATCACGTGGGGAAACTTACTGAAAATGCAGATTCCTGCATCTTCCAACTGGAGCTTTTGGATCCATAGATCTGAAGCAGGGTCCAGGAATCTGTCTTTTAATTAGCATTTCCAATGACTGAAAAGCAGATGGCACTCAGATTCTGTGTGTTTGGTATGAACATAGCCTAAAAAGTTCACCCAAAAGTCATCAAGTAAGAGTTTCAATTCATATGAGGAAAAGAAATATCAAAGTTGCTATCTGTTCACTGGCAATTCTCACAGGAAAAAGACAGTGAAATTGTAGAGTCTCTCTATGCTCCATGGAAATAGTTTACTACGTTATTTTTTTTTAATACTGTAAATATGTGGGACAGAAATGATGTAGGAAATTATTAATGTGGCATAAGAAGTGGGGGATAGAGATTCTGACAAAGATGTTAGCTGTGCCCTTCTTTGCTTCATTTTGTTGCCATAACTTGGTACAATGGCTAATGCGTGATAGGTGTTTAAAGAAAGCAGGGGTAGTTAACATGAAGGAGTTAATGTCATGTGAAGTAGAAACTGTCATCTTCATTTTGTGTGTCAAAAGGTAGAGCCGGTAAAGGTCGCCCGCGGACACTTTGACTTCAGATTCTCACATCTTCACTCCGACCTGTGCCATCTCTTTGTTGAACAGATCTTTTTGCATTGTGCAAAACTATGGTTAAGTCACGTTCATTTGCATTCTGTCATGTGGTTTTTAGCTTTGTAATTTAATGTGTGAAGAACCATCAGTTCTTGTGTTACAGATAAAAAAAACTAAACCTCAGACAGGCTAAAATTCTTATATTTAGTCAATTAGAAGAATAAGGTTAGAACCTGGGATTTTTTTTTTCTAATTTATTTTCTGAAACATGCTTCTGAAAATGACTTTTTTTAAATAAGAGAATGGGGAGGAGTATGCAGATAACAAGTAAACATACAAGTCAGCAATCTGATAAGAAAAATTTCTCATGACAGTTTGAAAAAAAAGACAATTATCTTTAGCTAAGCAAGTATTTTTTCAGGCAAGTTAGAAAAAAAGAGAATCAGGATGGATAATGCAGAGTTGGGAAATAGAAAAGGTCAAAAATATCTGAGTAGAAGAGGTAACAGTGTGACACAGAATCTGTAGGAGTATAGATTTTTAAAAAGATTTATTTATTTTTGTTGGAAAGATAGATATATAGAGAGGAGGAGAGACAGAGGAAGATCTTCTGTCTGATGATTCACTCCCCAAGCGGCTACAATAGCCAGAGCAGAGCCAATCCGAAGCTAGGAACCCAGAGCCTCTTCTAGGTCTCCCACACGGGTGCAGAGTCCCAGGCCACAAGCAGGGAGCTGAATGGGAAGTGGGGCTGCTGGGATTAGAACCGGTGCCCATATGAGATCCTGGCTTGTGCAAGGTGAGGACTTTAGCTACCAGGCTACTGCATCAGACCCTAACTACATAATTTTCATCTGTATGGCCAGACACCTGTTAGGTCTTCTCTGGACTATGGAAACCAGTAAGCAGAAAAGCATCTCTGCTGACCACGAGAGTTGTAAGTGCTGTCTGAGGCTCCTGAGAGATGTAACTAGTAAGCAGCAGGTCTGTGTGGAGCCTTGAGAGCCCGACCACCTGGACCTAAATCTACACTTAACAAGTTGAAGCATCTTGATAGCCAACTCTTCAAAGGTAGGCATTAAGATTCTTATTTTAAAGTAAAAGTTCTTTGAGATTCAGAGAGCTTAGGAACTTGGTCAGAGGAGCTAGCAGTTCTGTCTCAGATCCAGCACTTAGACTCTGCATTATGGAGCAGGCATTGGCTCTAGCGGATGGAGCCCCAGTTCAGACGCCAGCATCTCATGTCAGAATTCCTGGGTTCCATACTGCCTCTGGCTCCTGATTCCAGCCTCTTGTAGCAGCAAACCCTGGGAGTACTGATGGTTGACGTGGCTGCATCCCTACTACTCATGTGGGAAAAACATGGATTGAATTCCAAGGCTCCTAGCCTGGCCCAAACCCTGAGCTTGGTTAGGAGCCTTTCATTCCTGGCCTAGAAACTGTGAGGGCTCTCTGTTACCCCATCCCATTCCCCAACTTTGTCAGATAAGCAAACTTAAAAAAAACAAAACTGTTTGCTCTCTCAGTCCACGTGCTGGCAAGAATCTGGAATAGTGTGCTGAAAGGTACCACAGCAAGCCTCCCTACCAGCGCTAGACTGGTGTAAGAAGTCAGTGTTCTATATATTTGATAGCCTTGAGCTGGAAAAACAGGCAAAGAACGTGCTAGTGTGGGAAAAAATGGAACAGATGAGTATCAGAAACAAGAGCTGAGAAAGCAGTCTTTCAGTACCAGGTGAACACTTCAGTACTACAAGAAACAGAAGTAGAACTTTTTCTGTTTGATGTTTATTTGTTTGTGTCCACTGAAGTTGCTCAAAAACTTGGTGTTCCCCATGAGAATTGAGTTTTATACAAAATGGAAAAGGCTGGCAGTATAATATCAGCTTCAGAAAAGTAGTGTTTGTTTGAATTGTGACCTTTGCCTACGTTAAAAAAACTATTTGAATTTCACAGTAAGTGTAGAAAATGACCATTTGTTGAAAATGTATTGGTGGAAAACTATTAGGTTTCTAGTTTTGTTTTTGAGGAAAGATTAAAAACAGTCTTGAGTATAGGTTAGTTATCTATTTATCTTTTTAGCTTCTTCTTTTTTGTTTTTTTAAGATTCATTTAGTTTTTTTTTTTTTATTGGAAAGGTGGATATACAGAGAGGAGGAGAGACAGAGAGGAAGATCTTCTGTCCAATGGTTCATTCCCCAAGTGACCACAATGGCTGGTGCTGCACCGATCCAAAGCCAGGAGCTCTTCTGGGTCTCCCACATGGGTGCAGGGTCCCAAAACTTTGGGCCATCCTCCACTGCTTTCCCAGGCCACAAGCAGGGAGCTGGATGGGAAGCAGGGCTGCCGGGATTAGAACCGGTGACCATATGGGATTCCGGCGTGTGCAAAGCGAGGACTTTAGCCGCTATGCTATTGCACCGGGCCCCTTCTGGCTTCTTATTTTTAAAGACTTATTTGTGTTTGAAAGACAATTATAGAGACAAGGAGAGAGAGCAGTAGATCCATCTTCCATCCACTGGTTCACTCCCCAGATGGCCACAGTGGCCGGAGCTGGGCTTGTCTGAAACTAGGAGCTTTTTCCCCATCTTCCATTTGGATGCAGGAGCCCAAACATTTGGGCCATCATCCTCTGCTGCTTTCCCAGGTGCATTAATGAGGAACTGGATGGGAAATGGAGAAGTCGGAACTTGAACCTGCACCCATATAGGATGCCAGTGCTGCAGATCGAAGCTTAACATACTTCACCACC